GCTACAAACTACAGACTAACCAACTGTTTCAAGTTCTTTGCTTCTTTCCCTTAAACATTGCATTTGTAGTGCTTCAGTTCTGTCCTTCAGACTGAAAATCTTTCTGCAGTGAAAAACTTGTTATTCGAAGTAAAGCTAATGGATTTTTGTACAACGCATTCCCTGCGTCTAATAATGAGACTAAACTAAAATTCTTTACCAAAGACACGAGACTCAACTCAGACTTGAATCAACTTGTGGACATCTCTGCTGTAAACAACAGCAATAACCTTTGTATGGCAGCTATACAGACTACATAGTAACAAGTAGCTGGTTGGATGTCAGCCCATTTTGGCATCATCTTATTTTATTAATTTAATTTTATTAATTGTTTGATTTCTTAAATTGTTTACTTTTGCTAGTATTTAATTAAAAAAATGAAAAATGTTATTGCGTTCATAGTTCATGTAGGCTGCACTACTTCACTGGGGCTTCACTGGGGTTTGTCCCTTCCAGCTCTTTTAAAAACATCAGACAAACTAATTATCATGATACATACTGTGTATTGTGAAATTACGTTGAAGTGTTGTGATATAAAATTGCGATATTTCTGCCATATCGCACAACCTTAGTTTTTTGTTTACAGCAGTTCAGTTCAACAACCGATGATGGCTATTGAGCATGAGTTAGTGCAAAAATAGTTGTTGTGCTTTTAAGTGTTGCTTAGTTCTGAAAATACAGCTTGGTTACCCTGTGATGACTCAGATAAAGCTATGTTAGCTATCAGACAGATTTATTTAAGTGTCACTGCCCTCAGTTTGAGAATGTGGTAAAGCACAGCAGCTCAGTGAATAATCTTTTCAAGCATATTTAGAACCGTGATCATGACTACAGGGCTGTGTATGCCGTAAATGTAACAAAGCTTTGTCTATCGCATTTTAGGAAGCCCATAATTATATGGTGTATGTTGATGAAGGAGTAATTTTTGGGGAATGCCAGCCTGATGCCCCACCAAGGAGAAATCGGAAAGGCATGGGAAGTAGACAACAAATAAGACTGTCTCATGAAAGATCACTGACTGGCTGTAAGGCCTTGTCTTTAGTTTACTGTTGACTGAAACCAAAAAAAATACAATGATGTATTATTGCTGAGCTTGTTTGTGTACATTTCTTAAAATATGAACGCACCACTCCGCAAACAGATTAGAGAGATCCATCTACCAAAACAGACATTTTAGTATTCTTGGAAAACTGACCGTATTTATCTTGTGTCACAACTTAGAGGGAAATGATATCAGGCATAAATATATTAAGAGTTTTTGTATTATAATCTATTAAGAACTTTTCTCTGTGAAAAATGAATCACAGTATGTAGTAGTTTCAGCACATTTCCATGGGAGTAAGTAGAAACTGATCGTACATCATTTTTGATTTTTCACATTAGACATAAACCTCTGTATATTTACATTTGTGTCCAGTTTAGTTTAGTAAATAATTTATTGGGAGCACAGCACCTGATCTCTGATACTCTTATTGTGAAAAATAGTGTAACAGTTGTAGTATCACAACAGAAACAGATCTGTTTGTAATTACATATTCTCACTAAAACACCACAAGGTTCAGTTTTTCAACTCAGGTTCATCCAAGGTTGTCTCTCTAGGTTGATTTCCTTGTTGTTTATTTCCGGGAATTTTATTTTCAGCAACTCATAAAACATAAACAACAAGCTCAAGCAGTTTCTGTTAATTTTAATGAAAGACAGATGTCCAGTGTTTTTTACCTCATAATATGGTGATTTTAAACCCCCATTTAACAGTTAAACTCGTAAATAATGGTGACACAAGGAGTTCAGTTTTTTTTTTATTTTTTATTGAGCATTAAACTCTAAAGGCCCTAGAGTTAGTCCCATGCTAAATCTCGCTCTTAAGTAAGCAATAAATTTTACACAGCTGCATTGCTTTTCAGGTCTGATCTGGCTTAGATTAGCAGATATGAGTGCTCAATTAAATTAGCCCCAAAAAGCTAGATTTACACTCCAGCTTAGGCAGTTGCAAATGTCCTTTGAGGCAAAAAATGGAATTTTCTGTGAAAATGCACAAGGTGCATGTACTTCAAACAGCAGATTGGCCTGACTCAATGGTCAGTCTTTACTAGATTGTAATACAGCTGCACAGTTTATCATTTATAAATCATTTTCATGATATCAACCTTCACAATACTGATATTGCAATGCAACTGAGCCTCTAACCAACTACTGAAAGTTTTAATGTGTACTGTGATCCTATGAGGCATTTACACAATCCAATGAATGTAAACCATCATGCCACATCAATGTCATATCACACTGGCAATATGTGTCAATTACATTATACTGTGGTGTTCTGTACATATTGTTAGCTCTAGATTTACTGGCATCCATGGTAAACATCGGTGAAAATGTCTTTGTGGGTAATCAGATCAATCACACACTGAAAATATAAGAAAAATCTAACCATTTATTGATGTATATTTAGCCAAAGAAAACAAGAAACAAAAATAAAAAAGCAAGATATTCAATCCACATTCATTATCATTACAGATATGTAATTGATATTGTAAAAATTCTATGTGCTGCTAATGTTTTATTAATAATTCATACTTCTTACATCTTAATACAAAAAAGGCACTTGTACAGCTAAATAAAATATTTTTATGTCTATCATATGGATATAGGACAATGTGAATTTGAATATTTAATTTCTGATGTATAGTACTGTGAAACAATCTGACACTACCCTTTCATTTAATTTCCACCCACATTTGAAAAAGAAAATAACACAACAGGCTCACCAACTAAATATAATATCATTTTTTGGTATATTTATTCTGTTCAGGAGACTTTCTTAGAGTTTTTCTAAGAAATCTTCAGAGCTATTCTTCCAAAGTACGGTCTTGGTTGAATTGTCTGCATCTCAAAATCGAAGTAATCACAAACACATTCAATGGTGTTGAGGCCTGGGCTCTGGGGTGGTCAGTCAGCCGTTCCTAGAACACCAGCAGCTTTGTGCCAGGTGTCATCATTCTTTGTGACTCACAAGCCTCATGAAGATAATGATCAATCAAACAACAGCTGAAACCAGCTGCACAACGTCTAAATGTTTGGATGACTGTTTAGGGCAGGGGTGCACGACTCTGGTTCTGGAGGGCTGGTGTCCAGCAGAGTTTGGTAATTTACCTGCTCAAGCACACCTGCTTAAAGGTTAAGTGGGTATGTTTTCGAGCAGGGGAACCACCAAACTGTGCTGTTTACCTGTCGTCCAGGACCAGAGTTGTGCACCCCTGGTTTAGAGAGATTGAGAGAGAGAGCTTCACATGCTTCCTTTTAAGTATTGAGAGCCCTGAATCTGTTTCTTGCATTAATTTCATCCATATGCTTCAAATAATAGTAGTAGGCTAGTATGATTCATAGTGATTTAGCATAATGCCGCTTGTACAGTAGGAACAAGTCTGATTAATGTGAAACTAGGAAATGCCTCCCTGTTTGAAGATACAAGTATCCCTCTATTTGAAACTCAGACTGACTCTTCAAAGAGAATCAAGTGGCTAAGATAAGAGTAATGGCGCCGGGGTTAAAGTGCAGAGCTGAGCACTGCATCTTTAGGATTCTAGTTTAAGGTTGCAAGATACTGTATCGCTGTTGTCTGAACAAAACCTCATATCTCCAAAATGGGAACTTTACAGGAGAAGGAAAAGACCTACTTGACTTTCAATGTAAGTTAATGGAACCAGACTTTTTTCCAAGTCATTTTGGGCTGTTTTTTGGTCCATTCGTTATGAAACTTACACTTAATGTAAAGAGCAACAAGCATTTTCAAATTATGTCAAAAACTGAAAAATGACAAAAATGAAGGTTTTGTTCCAACAACGGCGATATACTAATACTGGTCACTCCATAGTGCAGATGTTCATTCACTGCCTGTTCTTCTGCAGGAGATACTGCCTTTTTGTTTTGCTCTTGTGGTGCTGCAGCCATGCAGGTCTATTCTCCACTTATGTTACCTTGGTTTAAATGTTAGGCTTGAGTTGTTAAATAAGCTAATTTTCCCTTGGACTAAATCAGTGCTTGAATCTGTTACTGCCTTACTAATAGAAATCAATGTACAATAGGTTTTCAAGGAAGGTATAAAGAATTAAGCTCATGACGAATATGAAACGTTTGACTGCTATCAATGCTAAGGATACAAAAATAGTAGATAATATCAAGCCATATAATTGTATATGGTCAAAAAATCCAATTGTTGTAGCTAAACAGTGCTTTACCAGCTGATATGGTTGTCTGCTATGAACTGTCAAATAAGTTCATTAGTTCTGAATTGTAAAATGTCTTAAACTCAAACAGCACAAACTCACAAAGGCTTAAATAATATAAATATTAAAAGTATCAACAGTGAACATGTTGACCGTGTGGAGCTATTCCATAGTTTTTACAAGAAACGTTACACATTCGATCTGTAAGCAGTTCATGCTAAGTATCAAGAGGGGGTACAGCAACGAAGGACGTTTCCACAGCAGGTTTGAGACCACCTTAAACATAACATCCCACTTGCTATCCAGAATACAGCAAAACCACAGAAGTGCAAACTAAAAAGTAATTTGTTGCCCTTAATGACTAGCTGTCCTGTAATGTCTAGAACATTGGGTTTTGTGTCATTACTTCACAGCAATAGTATGGAAGCTTCCTACCAGCCAATGTCACTGATCAGTCGTTATACTAGTCAGGCTCTAGTATAGTTTTCAGAGGAATAACACATGGATAGGCAGAATTTGCATTATACGTCATTTTTTCTGATTTTGACATGGAGGTCAAAGATGTCAGGTTTTATTTTTATGTTTATCCCTGTGACAGAATTCTAAGTAATAAACTGAATGTATGAATATGCTGTAAATTCAAGCTGCATTTGTGAACAAAACTGAGGCATGTTTAAGTGCTGAGAGTATCTACATTGTCTTATGCACTTTAAATATGTTCCCTGTTTTCAAAAGGTGTTGTCTACAATGATGCTCTCACTGCTATGGCACTGTGGCTCTGTCCTGTTGGGCCTATCATGCTGCCTACTGGGAGTGACATCATCACTGAACCTGGAGGACCCCAACGTCTGCAGTCACTGGGAAAGGTAATACACACACACACACACACACACACACACACACACACACACATACACACACACACATACGTGCATACATGCATTTTGCCCCCCAGCCCCGTGTAAACTCTCATTTGATATACTGCGCTGCTGTTTTTTTTACAGTCTCTGAATGTCTCCTATATTGTCATATATCATTTATGAAGTCAGAGAGGAATATGGGCACATGCTATAGAACATAGTCCTGTATCAGTGGGCAACTGTGACTAACCTATATAATCTTATCGCCAGTCAAGGCATAATGTGCAGCATGGAACAGTATGCGACATGTCCCTGCTGGTGTTTATGATAGAGCAACTGTTTGGCACAAAGGCACGCCATGCTTTAAAATGCTATTATAGCAGACAGGCCTTTTAGAATGACTTCATTTATATCCCACTAGTTACCAAGCTACAGTGAGATATCTGTTCTCAAAATTCATTTCCTTCCAGTGTTACATAGAGATGTAGTAGATTTCTTGGTTAATGACAGGTGGATTGGTATCATTGCTGTCCAAAAACAAAAAAACAGACAAGTATCTCCATTTTTTGCAATTTTCAGGTTTCTACATAATTTGAGCTCATCTGTTCTTTATGTTATGTGAATTTCATGATGATTGGAGCAATAGAAATGTTCCAAAATTGCTCCTAATAAAATCTCTTTACATTAACTTACATTGAAAGTAAAAAACGTTTTCGCCCTTTCCTGTAAAGTTACAGTTTTAAAGATACTTGTTTTTCTTTGAGGACAATATGAAAAAAAAACATTTGGCTTAAATGATTTGGCAAATTATAGCTGCAGATTAGGTAGCATTTGCATGTTTTACCACCAAACTAAATTGGCATCTTGAAGATTTTCAAACACATGGCATACAATTCTATACAAAGTCAGAGGACACCATTTATTTGACATCCAGTCAGAAAGGCCAAGTATAAGTTATTCATTTTTGCAGTAGATATATGTGAGGAGACTAGATATACTAAAATCTTGCTTCAGCTCTGAAAAAAATCCACAGATGTTTCTGTCCATCCTTCCACTGTGAAAAGAGAAATTAACCATATGGGTCTGATGGAAGGATGTTCAGCTGTCAAGAAGCCGTTATTCAGACATGGAAACAGACAAAAAAGAGGAGAATTTCCACTAGAACATCAAAACTGGACATTTGAGATATGCAGTAAGGTTTAATGAACTGATGATTTTGTCCCATTTGTATTATATACATGTAAGTACCTGTATGTGATAATGTATATACTGTGTATAATATACATGTAAGTACATATTTGTAATAAGGATTTTCTAGGCATAGCCTCACCCTTAACCTTTAGTAACCGCAAAGAAATGCTTAGCCCTGTTTTTCTTTTGCTATTAAAACAAACATCCACACACACTTAAACATACACACACTGTCACACACTGCCCCACTCCAGACACACACAGTTTTAATAGGCAGAGGATTTCTGCGTCCAAATTAAGGAAAGGCTCGGGAATCCATTAAAGCAGATTGAAAAGAACAAAGGTGGAGGCTGCTTTCCCAGCTAGATTTACTTTCACTGAGTAATGTGTGGGAACAGCTGCAGTGCTGTAAGCGGCCATGAAGAGGAAGGCTATGGAACAGCGCCCGCAGAGACAGAGAGTGCGAGTGTGGCCTCTCAGTGGACCCCCACTTCCAAGCCTGGCTAATTTCTTGGTGGATGATACTTTAATACCTACTTACCAACGCTTGGTCACCACTGTTCAAGCTTGTTGGGAATGTTGTAGAATGCCTCAATAAGCAAATACTAGGAATACTGACTGTTTACATTCATATCAAATCACCAAGATTATAGATTATACACTCTTAGACAGTGCTCTGGGGACCTTATCCCATATTCTTCTTCTGTTTAATTTCGGAGGTCCACTTATGTTGTTTGTGTGTGGTTATGTGCTAAAACAGTTACAGTTCATTTCTACATGATCATTTTCCAAACCTTTCTTTATCCCTCAGAATTAAACTGGCTGTTTGTGTTAAGACTGATATATGTGAATGACCTCTGTCCTAATTGGGTAAACTGCAGTACGCTTCATTCAAAAAGTAGTCGAGGCTAAAGCAGTTCTTATAACTTCAGCTTGAGTAGGCAGAGCTAAATTGCTGTCGGTTGAATAGGCAGGTGTACGTAAATGTGGCTGTTTTTGTGACATTGCAAAAACAGTAAATTCAACCTGGACTGTTTTTCAGCTTAATTTCCATACATGGACTGTATGGGCTGGGAAGTGAATGGCATGCTTTGAAACATTAACAATGTTTTACATACTACCTCAAACTTTAAGATTTCTACATAATAAAATGGTTCATTCAGAGTGGTTTGATTCTAGAGAAACTTACAGAGTCTGATGAGTTTAATACTTCTTAAAGCTCCCTTATAGAAAGTTAGTACATGAAATCATTATGAATGTGCTGCCTGATGCCTGAGACATTGATCTACAATAGTTTTGAGAAGATTTCAGCCTAAAACTTTTTTTTACATACATTCATGGTGGAGAGGTACATGTAGGACATTGTGAGACAAAATAAAGCTTATTTTTTCAGATTTACTAGTATTTTACCATTATCAACATTACATAAAAAACTCATGTAAGTTCACTTGTGGCTTTGGACTATAAGCAAACCGGCTATATTTGTGTTTTATACACTCCAATAAGTCAATAAGTTTCTCTACAGCAAACCATTTCACATCAAACCACTCTGTACATCTTTATTTGCATCTCAAAGATTTAATATTTTGGAAAATTTGAAAAATCAGCATTTTCCCTTAAAGCTACTCACAAACAGTATGTATAAAAAAGTATGGAAGTTTTACACTGTTGTTATACGTGTTACTGTACATGGATAACATTCTGAAATAAGAAGAAAAGCAGTTGGCCTTGGTTTTCACTGCCTCGCAATCATCAGTGCAGCGTCATTCTTAAACTGTCCTGTGATAAACAGAGAGCTCCGTTATGACCCTCAGAATCCAGATGAATGAAGCACCATTCACTTATAGGCTCTCTTTCACAAAGTGTTCAAGTGACATTCTTCACATCTGAACACAGCTCATTTTCATCAGAGGGGGCCATGCACACTCCCGGAAAGCCTGAAGTCACAACTGTTCAATTAGGATCACAAGGGAGCATTTGTCACCACAAGTGCTTTACTCAAGGACCCTCTAATAATTTGTCTGTCTCTTACAGCTATAAATATTCACATTTGCCTTATCTGAGAAGAGAAATTGGAAGACTACAAGCTGTTATCTTTAAGCTCAAGTGCTTTATTATCCCATTTACATTTTGTAGCATAGATATTATTACTATTTGAATGGCTTTTTAAAAGATTTCAAATAGGGTGTAGCACTACAGATAAGGGTGGGAAATATGACAAAACCTTTTCTATGATAAATTACATAATCACAATAGACTTGTTCTTAGTATGTGTTGGGCGTTGTCAATACTTTTACTGTTTGTTTTTTTTATTTGTGTTATTTCTTAAAGGGATGGCTTGGTGAAAAATCAAATTGATCCAATTTTCCACTTACCGCACATGAAATCAACCTGCCAACACATTTTGGAGTCCAAATTTTGCTTCTTCATTTTAGAACTGGAGTCATGAGACTAACATTGCTAACAAACACAGCAACTCAGTAGTCACCCAAATAGTCGACTTGATTGTGAAAATTGCAACATTGATTTGAATTGGAGGCCACCCACACACAATGGAAGTCGTAGGTCGCATAATCCTTTCTCGATACACTGACAGCTTCATTAAGCCCCTTATTATTGCACTTAGCCTGTGTTCTCATTAGCCACTTCAGCTGGAGTTATGGGACCACACATCAACTGTATAAACAGTCCACAGAATGTGAGCGCTGATATGTCTGTGTGTTGTGTGTATGTGTGTGTGTTCTCCACAGCTACTCGGTCACAGTGCAGGAGTCATATGCACACCCCTTTGATCAGATCTACTACACAAGCTGCACTGATATCCTCACGTGGTTCAAGTGCACACGCCACAGGTGAGAGGGCAATCTAGACTGAGCAGAAACACTATTCAGTGCAATACAGTTGGAATAGCACATTTTACAGCAGACAGTGTAACAAAGTAGCTTTGCAGACCAGTGATTCAGTGAACAGTACAGTGCAAGTCAAGAGAATTGTGAGAATTGTGTAAGTAAAACTGAAGTATGGTGAACAAATGAGTTAGGCCTTCAGTTTGGCATAAATGTAAAAAAAAAAGAGAAAAACTCCTCTATACTGATGCTAATTTCTGTTAGCTTCTCTGTAGGATTAATAAGATATGTCAGTGCTAAACTAACAGTAGTGCACATCACCTTTTTTGACCATTCCAGATAAAAAACACAAAATTACATTTGAAGCTTATGGAAGACATTTCAGGCTTTATTTGTAGATTGTAACAGACGTTTTACAGTGACTCATTCAATAAAGAGCCCTGGGATAGAACTACTGCTGTTTTCTGTTTCTAATGCCTGAAACCTGGTTAGACCACAGCTTGTATTTGCAGTCAATGCAAATTTTTTATGTACATGTCTAGAATCACTTTATTTTCTCATGAAATCAATACCACAATACATTAATGGTTGATTCCACTGTCACTTTCTTATTTTGTTGGGTGTTAATTAGATGCATTAGGACTCCTGAAGGCCTAGCCAGTTGAAGAGGTAGTTTGTGTGTATTTCAAGATTTTAACCCTTTTGTTTCCAACCAAAACTGAACAAGCATGACAGAAAAAGAGTAATAATAATGTATAATAATAATAATAATAATAATAATAATGATATAAAAATACTAATGTAATAATAATGTATTTTTTAGTTCCCAGATATTTTTATTTTAGACCTTTTCTGAAGGCCTAGAAGGCCCTGAGTTGTCCACTCTGTTGATTAACAAAACTAGGCATCGGATGGTACCTGCAAACACTGGGATGTCTTGAAGACAAGAAATAGTTATGCTAACATACTGACAGACATGAAATCAGACATATTAATTCTTATTTGTTTTTATGTTTTGTATTTCTTTCTGAACAAATAAGCACCTAGATAAATAGCTTTCTATATTCTCAGTTGACCTAAGACTTTTGCACACTACTATACATGAAAAAAGCTATTCATTCAGTTTACTGAATTCAGATGTGTGCATCATTTTCACATGAATGATGTATTACATAAACACAATTATTGCCAAAAGTAAGCTAAATTGTGTTGATGTGATGTATTTTATTCATGTGGAAATGATGTACAAATTCAATGAATTACATTTTTCAGTGTTAACATAGTCGTTTAAACATAATTCATTTGTAATTCCATATTATTTGTTATGAATGGACTATGAATATTGCCCAGCTGTTGCTTAACAAACCTGACCACAGGTGCTGTTGGTGCAAGCTGGAAAGTAAACATTGAACTCAATGGCAACAATGCTGATCACAAAACTGGCAACAATAGAAAACTATTTTAAAGAGTTTGTGCTGTCGTAGTACTCATTTCCCTTCTTCATACCTGCTGCCGCCTTCAGGGTGAGCTACAAGACAGCCTACCGGAGAGGAGAGAAAACCATGTACCGTCGCAAGTCTCAGTGCTGCCCAGGTTTCTACGAGAGCAGAGAGATGTGTGTTCGTAAGTAATTCTGACTTTCCGGTTCATTTTTAAGACTTCCCAAAGATCTCTGCAGGCTACAGTCTGCAGACAGCTAACAGTGTAATTCTCTTAAAAAGTTCAGTGAAACATTTTGCCAAAGTGCTTCCAAGAAAATGTATGAAGCAGTGCTGTATGTCATGAGGATGTAGTTACCTCAGGCAGTTTTTAAGAATAGGTTTTCATAAGTGCACAGTATTAAAAGATAAACTGATGATAACTGCTAGCATTCAGTTCCAGATTTTAAATGATTTACTTGCCATGTGTAAAGTTTTTATACATATTTTTGTATCTATTTGGTAAAAGCGCAGGGCTGTCATAGTTCTGACCTTAAAACAATCCCTAAAATTGTAAAACACTTGCTTAAAACAGCTTTAAATATGACTAAGCAGACATTCTACTAGTGAAGGGTGTTTAAAGTGTTTAAATCTCATTGTATGTCACTGTTTTTGTTGTATATAAATGTATACTTGAGTTTACCTGCAGTGGGTGTAGACAAGTACAAAGATTTTAACCCTTTATGCTGTCCAATAGCTATTGCTTAGTGGAAAGAAACTAGATGATGAACTTGTAAGTTTAACTTACTAAGTTTAACTAACTAAATTTTGTTTTTTAAATTTCATTTTTCTCGTTAATGCATTTTGCTGATGTTAAAACAAATGCAGTGTGGCATCAGATTAAAACAAGTACATGATGATGACTTATTCCAACACCAGGCCAAGGTCATTTAAAGTGAATGATATCAGTAAAGACTCCAGAATAAGCACATTGACTGCTGGAGGAGTTAAGAGAGGTTAAAGACTATAGGTGAATTCCGTCCAAAATCAAATGTTTAACTCCAGTTCATTACCTTCTTTTAATGCTGAGGAGCCTGTTGGACTGCTAGATGCTTCCTTGGAGAATTATTACTGCAGGGTGAAAAAGTCAGATGCCAGAAGGTTGACAGTTTCAAGCAAAGACAGCAAATTAAAGTGACAGAATTTATAAACTACATTTGTAAATGAATGAAATTGTTTCAACCCCATAACACCAGCGTTATTTGATTGGGTAATCAAACCAAATTGGCAGTAATTCTGTGCTCTTCATCATAAAACATTTCTAAGGGCTCCTTTTCATGCATACAGATGCTACCCTAGTTGAGAAACACATTGCTTATGACAAAACAGGCCAGTGTCACTTGGATTATTGAGGTTGGGCAAGTCTGTGCTGGAGGAATGGATGATAAAAGTCTTTATCCCTGATGAATCAGCTTTTATATCACAGTGGATGTGAAAATGTGACCCCCTGGTGCTCAAAGAGGACTTTATTTGGGCCCTGAAAAGGATCTGTTGTGTGTACAGTTGGCCGCAATCACATGGTGCCTTCTCATGCCCTCTGTTTCCTCATCACTCCAAAGAAATACTGTCTCTTGTCTGGTGGGAAAGAGTTCTTTTTATAATGTGATTGATGATGAGTTGATTAGAGCGGCTCACACTGCATAGCTAAATTATCTGAGGACAAATTAATCAAGGCAGCTGATTTCCTTAAATCATCTCAGACAACACAACAGACAAATAAACAGGGAAATGAACTTGCATTTCACTGAAACACTGTCTACAAATATGTTCAGTTATATGTTTTCAGTAAAGAAACAATGGGGAGATTATGTTCACGGTAGGGCTGTTAAAGTTAAGGCACTAATAACACAATAACATAAAAAAAATAGCATGACTATTTTTGGTAATGCCATTAAAACATTGTCTTTATTTGACCCTTCAAACCATCCATAGGAGTGAACAGTTCAGGCTGAAGCCCAGCTGCTTGAGTATTATAAAGGCCATAAAGGGCAACTGGCATTTTTAAACAGTGTAAAAACAAACCCACCAATTTATAGTATTTCACTTTGAGTTGGCTTATTTTTGGATTAATGTGTAGATGTAAGCAACCCCCACAATGACATTATTTGTGATACATTTCTCCCATTTAAAGCGCACTCCAAGTAATATTTAGACGATGTTTATGTGTTTTACTTACCCTTGTATTATATGATATATTCCTTAATAATGTTTTTTCATAGGTTCTTCATTAAAGGCAAAGGTTCCAGAACTGTGACAACTCAAAGAATCATTTCAATGCATAAATGGTTCTTTGCAGGGCTCAATGGAACTTGTTTGTTGTTTGTTTTTGGGTAAATACAGAATGCTAAGAGTGTACAGTCATATTCAAAAGTTTAGGCACCATTGATCAAATTACATGTTAATTTTAGATGTAAGTATACATCCTCTACAGAGACACTCTTTTGCACATTTTAATGCACAATTACTGTAAATTTGCTGAGTTTAACATATTGGGGAAAAATAAAATGTGACCTGTGCAAAAGTTATGGCATACTTCATGTATTATGTTTATTTTCCAGTATGTTAAACTCAGCAAATACAGAGAAATTGTGCAGACAAAAGCAGAAAATGTAACATGTTTCAGTGTATTCCCTGATAGAGGATGTTAATTTGTTTGGAAAATCAACAAAACATGTAATGAGAGGGAAGTTTTGCATGTGACTGTATATTTCATTGTACTTTATTGTTTTCTGGTTGAAATTGAATGAGGCATATTTGAATGACTTTTCATCATTGTGACCTGAGCATGAACTATGACTTTGGCCTCACATTACCTAGCCCCAAATCAGATTTCCCACCCAGCTTGTATTTACAAACAGCCACTCACAATTAGTCCCAATTTCTCCTCAGTGGACTTGTATTCATAGCACAGCTAAGGATGTGTCGGCTTTAAACACAGAGCCCATTCCAGATCATGGAAAGTCTGCTGTAATGTCGTAAAGCTGCATGGCTTAATGGATTTGGTTCTGTTCCCAGTGTAGGTTTATCCACTGTGTTAGCCCTTAGTAGTTCTCATTCAGTTGTAATTGCTTTCTTGCTGTCTTGTGTCAATGCTAGTAGAATAGCGATTGCTAGTGTCAATGCCAATCTTCAAAGGATTACTCAGTCCCATCTCTGTGTGAAGAGCAAAGATTCTGTCTTTTAATAACTTTTTAAAGACTGAAACACTTCTTTTCATTCTGAGTTTGTTTGCTACCACACCCTGTGTGCTGTTTGTTTGAGCGATAGCTGCCCTGTTTAGCAGGTTAGTGTGCGTTTTTTTTTTCCCCCCTTCATGTTTGTTTTTCCCTCTAGCTTGTCTTCACTTTTGCTGTGTGCGTTTGAAAGGATGAAATCTGACCTTACTTTCCCTTGTTTTTTTTTCTCTGTCTCCCTCTTCCTCCACACCCTCCTCCCACGGTGAACCCCACTATCCCCCCTCCTCTCCAGCCCACTGTGCTGAGAAATGTGTGCACGGCCGCTGCGTGGCCCCCAACACCTGTCAGTGCGAGCCCGGGTGGGGAGGAGCCGACTGCTCCAGCGGTAAGTCCTCCAGCTGTAGCTGTCTGTCTCTCTGCACGCCAATGGCTCCAAGCACACACACACACACACACACACACACACACACACGCACACAGTTCTTTATGCCAGCCCTTTTAGAACACCAGTGCGCAACGGAAGGCAACCAGAGAGACGCCAAAAGGTTTTGGCTGTTCCGCACAGAAAAAAGACCTCTCAACAGTTCTCTGTGGCAGCAGTTTTGTTTAACTGTTTACCCGGTATTTGTTTTTTACCTTGTAAATCCCATAATTGGCTAAACTACACTGTTAGAAATAAAGGTACTGTACAGGTACATTTTACATACATCAAGGTACAAACAATGTAAATGATCCCTCAAAGGTACAACAGTGGTTTTAAAGTCCAATTGTAAACCTTAAATAAGTTTTTCCAGGTGAAAAGTACATATTGGTATCTTTTCATAACCTAATGTTTTAAAACAGAACAACAAAATAAAAGCCTGGAGACGAGATGGGGTGTGTGGAGTCAATACAACGTAGAAAATTATGGTACAATTATGCTCCCTGACTAAAGGTACTGAGATGTACCCTTGCGGGTCCCACCCCAGTAACAAGAGGGGCACTGCCCCAGTGACAGTTTACTACCTTTTTTTCTGAGAGTGTATGGTAGATCTCAGACTGTATTTCATGAGAGTTCTTTAACCTCTTAAAGGAATATTCAGGCATATTCAAACTAATCTCTATCTGCCATGTCTGTAATATGTGGCCCACTTTCACAGACTATATGACATCAACATTTTCAGTATTTTCACACTTTGCTTTTAATATAGTTTCCATTCTTTTCAAGAGACTTGTTTTCAGTTTTTCAGTGAAGTTTGCTAGATGTTTTCACAACTCAGTTCAGTCCTAGAAGTTGGTTGCATTTTCTGCTTTTCATGATCTAAATAATCCCAAACACACTGAATGATGCTGAGGTCTGGACTCTGAGATGGTCAGTCCGTTGCACTAAAAACACCCGCAGCTTTTTTGTTCTGCAAACATTCTTCTTTTTTTTTATTTCCTTTTCTCAATAAGGGCGTCTTGACATCTACACGTCCATTCAGGCCCATAGCTTTTGAGTCGTGTTCTCACAGTGGAAGGATGGACAGAAACACCTGTAGATTTTTTTCAGATCTGAAGTAAGAGTGGAGCTTGATTTTCTCCTCTCTCAAAGATGAAAGCTTTAAGTACTGGGTATCTGGTCCATCAGGTCTTTTCCTTTGACTTTATTCTTCCCTATGCTGTTTTGACTGGAAATCAAATACATAGAGGGTGGGATCTGACTTTTGCACAATAGATTTACAAGGAAATATACACTCTAAATTCTTTCATTCTCCTAATCCCTTAAAATCCCAGTCTTATTATATACTAAGGCTTATCATTCAGTAACTACAGGTACTTCAGTGCAAACTGGTTGAGCTATTCTTAGATAATAGAAGTGTTTTCTTAGAATACAGAAAGAGGGGGACCTGACCATGTAAGAAGTTAACTATGCACCCAACATGGTAGTTTCATAGTAGAAGTACTTAAATAATTAAGTCTTAAGATTTATTATTCATTAGTAAGCCTATAATTGAGAAGTAAATGTTGTTTTTTAGGCAATAAGCATTAAGCAGCCTGTTTTTTTCTTCTTTATGAGTGATCATTTGAAATTTGAACTTCACCTCTTTTATTTATATAATTTTATTAGGTTGCTGTTTGAAGCCAGGCCTAATCTCTGTGCCCTCATGGCCAGGTGTGTTGACTGTGGTGGGTTAATGGTGGCTCAGTTGAATCAGCTGGGGTCTCGGTCGTCTGCTGGTCTTGTGTTTCAGGGTCTTTATAAAGAGGTCATTGTTATGTCTGCAGTCTCACTCTGTCCCTCAGGAGTTAAACAAGTTCAGCTAGTCAGTCTGGACAGGGTGATTAAATGAGCTCTGATAGCACTGGTCTCATATTCATTGTTAGAAAGACAGAGGTAAGAGGATACAGGCCCACATGAAAGGACTCGCCAACTTAGCATATTGTAGTACGATTATGCGTGTAGATTACAATAGTCTCGTAAATCAAAGGTGTGGTTAACAGTGTTTATTTAACAGGATCTTTTTGCTCTATAGTGGCACAATTAAGACACAGTGTATTCACTGTTACACGGTCTCTCTTTGGTGGTGTGTTGAACAGAACAATTCAATGTAGCCAAACACTGATTTGGCCCGGAGTTTAAAATGTTTGTCCTGATTGGAGTTTTTGTTTTCATACTTATTCACCCTTGGTCAGTTGGCTGTGACTGGGAGGCACACATGCACACGCACAGATGAGATCTGTGATAAACATGAACTGACCCAGACCCAAAAATCAATGTTACTCACTGGAAAAAAAAGAAACCCCGGGCATCTCATCGATAGCCTTTTTTTATCTTGTTGAGTGTAAAGGTTGCTAGGCCTCACACCTGATTGGCTCTTACATTTGTCAGTCCACAATGAAAAGTATTGAAATGTACACCAAAAATTCTATACCTCAACTCTATAAATAAAATATATTACATTCAACTAAGTAGAATAATCAACACATAGTATTTCTAGAAGCAAGTAAACTTGAAAATATTAATGTAATATATTTTTTCATTTGGAAATGATGTACATATATGAATCAAATAAATTTAACACATTACTTTTTTCAATTTAGTGGTGCTTATATGCTTCTTTCTTAATTGTGAAAGTGAAAGTGAAGTATTAGAGAAACTCTATATTCTGTGGTTTGCAGTCTTCTTGTACTTGAAAGCACTTGTCATGTCATTATTTCTCTGATCCTAAATAACTGAATCTCTTCACCAATGTGACCCCCTTTGATATTCTTTTGGATAGATAATAAAGAGCTGATGAGGGGGTCATCATTTTGTGTTGCCTCAAAGGGCCTGTATCATGGAAAAACAGATTTCCTTTGCTTTTTTTGAATAATAGAGCTTGATGCAGTCTGTGATTAGTGTTAAAATGTAAAGGTGTCCATTCGGACCATATATGGGAACTACCGCTTTTGAATTCCTTGTTTTTGTGATGTCACAAAAACCGATACATACACACACCCATTCAGCCTATAGCAGTTTGCCACCACCCACTCATATTGACCTACTAAGGAGGGTTTCAGCCTGGGCTGCTTTCTGAATAAGCCACATCAGAACTAAGCCCATTTATATATGTCAGTCTTAAAGAGACAGTAACACAAACATTGTATTTCATTTTAAGGGAAAAAGAGAGGTTGGAAATGGCCATATAAAAGTGAATTATGACCATTTATTGTTCATAAAACCAAACAAATATTCTGAGTAAAACTTAGTAGGGAAAAAACAATGTATATGAGTGAAGCCACGCTGTCCATGCCTTGTACTGTTGCACGGCTGAACAGGCTTTACAGAATGTTGACAAAAATTCAACCTAAAGAGACACAGTTTACAGTAGTTCTCAAATTTAGAGCATGTTCTTAATTTCAGATGCTAATTATTTTGTATGTATGTGAAAGATCACACTGATGGGAGAGATTGGCTGTAATTTTTTTTTTTAAGTCATAACGCGAAAGTTAACATGATTGCAAATTCCGTTTGATACTGTAAAACAAACTCTGAACAAACATTGTAGGAGTCTGTGGATTTTTTAGAAAAAACTATTAGGATACCTCATTAGGATGCATGACACTTTGTCAGTGTTCTGTAAAGCCTGTCCAACCTCGCAACAGTAGCTATGAAAGACTGTGTGGGCAGAACATGGATAGGTCAATTGTGTAGCATTTTCAGTATAACATCAAAATAGTCTCACATTGTCTCCCAGCCCTACCATGGTTCCGGGTCTTTCTGAGAGGCAATTTGTTCTTCGAGCAGCAGTCTTAGCTCAGTGGCTCAGGGGCAGACGCTGATCCCCTCTCTAAGTGGGGTCTTCTGAAGGAACCCCCCGGATCCACACTAATATGACATTCATTTCCTCTAAAGATGCTCAGATCCTCAGACTCATTTAAACCTGGTAGCCTTTCAGTTTCAGGTCACAGGAGTCTAACAATGTGTCTAGTGGATTTTATCAGGTTCGAGTAAACGGTGAAGGAGGAAACCACTTTCTTCACACACAAAGAGCAAAGCTAGTAACAGGGTAGAAATGTAGGAAATGACCTCAGGGCTCAGCGATGGTGATTTTTGTATCTGGGGCATCGCATAATACAAGCACAAAAACACATAACATGGTCTCACTTTAATGAATTTGCCTCTTTAGATTGATATGATATTCTCATGTTTAACAAATCCTGGTTGGATTTTCTGACATAATGAAATAGTGATGGCTAGCATTAGCGAAACACTTCTACAGTTTCAGTCTCAAACAGCGACATTCATGTTAAAGAAATGCCTTTAGATTAACAATCAGCAGCTGTTGTTGAGTTTTGGATTTCAGTGTCACCACTTTCTGGCCTGTCCACTTGAAATAAAAAACACTATTACCTTCTTAAATGGGCTGCTGAAACTCCATATGTCTTTAAGTGCTGTCTTAAGGTGTCCACTTTGTTTATGTGACAGTTGTTCAGCCGTTGGTTTCACACCCAGTCGGAGTGTGATTTTATGCTGCATTAGGCTTATTTATAATTCCCCTCAATGAAGAAGAAAGCGTTTTTGGGGGTCTGCTAAGAAGAACAACTGGGTTTGTATTGCAGGGTGAGAGTTATACCCTGTGTATTGTGTTTGCATGTCTAAAATCATTTGATACTATAGTGAGAAAGACAGAGGATCCAGAGAAATCATATGCTCCTTGTCCAAAACACTGCCGCCTGGCATTCTTTGAATTAGAAACCTGGTTAGGGTTAGGGTTATCATCATTTTGGTCTTACTAATATTACGATATGTAAATATAACGATACTAACATTGTGGAATCTTTGATATGCCAATGATCCTCTGTGTGTTTTGAGCATTGTGACCAGTCATTTCCAGATGAGTTTCTGTGAATGTTCTGATGAATCAAGGTATTCATGTAATC